ATTACGTTCTACTACACGGATTACCATACTGCTTTACAGTTTCATTTTCCATGGCCAGGTGGAAATGTCCAAGCCAGTTATTAGGGGCTGAGCTGCAGATTAACGAACTTCTGACTGTGTGGCAGAATCATCCCATTGTTTCTCCTAATAGAAGTATTTTTCCCTGATAAAAGAATGTGGGACAGTAATAAGGTGTCAAGACTTACGGCCTTTTTTTTCTTTCTACAGACAGTACATAGAGAATTAGATAGCTGTTTATGAGCCAGGTTGATTCTGCTGTCTTTTCTCTTCTGTTGCAGGTGATCATACAACTATCTTGCTGTAAAAGCACCTCACAGTTTCTTCTTAAATGAAACCACACTTCCTTTATATTCTTTTCAGCTCAGTTCCGCTGTTCATGCCAGGGCTAGGGAGATTTTCCATTGCAGGCTTCTTAAAATTCATGATCCTTTTAGGGTATGAGCTGGCAATTCCCCTAAAGATCACCAAGTTCAATGTCACTCTTTACAGATGAGAACAAGGCTAAGAGTTAGAGCGGTGCCCAGCAGTGACAGAGGAGAGTCAGACCTAAGTTCTCGAATGACAGTTTAGCAATGCCTTCCTCATTATAACTTCCTCTTCTGCCTTCATCACTTTCCATTCAGTTGCCTCTTTTTCCCTAGAAGAGCCCTTCTCTTTTCACACTGCCTCTGCTTTGCTTTGAAGTTGCAGATCTGAAACTGTGTTTAGCTATGCTTTGGGTTTCCTCCATACTCTGTATCCCTAGCTTCTTCTAAACTGCCTTTTATCTAGGTTAGACACTTCCCACTTCCTATGCTGAAGTTTGACACCAACGGACCTAGACAACAGTCTAGTCCACTCTTCAAATAAAAATAAATGCTTGAAAATTATTCCTTAAGTCAAAGCCACAGAGTTCATTTTTTTTTTTTTTTCATCTGCTACACACTACTTGTGGTAGCTTTTCAAATTTCCCATTTTCCCCCATGTTTGGAATTTGGTCTATTGGGGAGGGTTTTTGTGAACTTTGTTTTTGATCCACAAGGTTATCTGAGTTTCAGATTCTATTTTCAGCAGTGCTTTCAGCTGAGTTTACTCCAATTGCAAAAACATTCCTATTCTGTGCTTACAGTAACAAATCTGAATGCAGATTGAAAAATTCAATCAACAGAGAGTCATAGACCCCAGTTTCTACCTTTTCTGAACACTCTGGCAACCTGGCCTCCTGTAGCCAGGATCTCTCTCATGGCTCAGAAAGCAGCTACTTAGCACTTCATCACTTCTCTTGAGCCTCTGACCCCATCATCACTTCCTTTTCTCTCAAGGAAAATAGAATAGACCATGTAGGGGTTTTTTCAACTTACTCTTCAATGAATCTCCCTTGAACACGTTCATCTGCAGTTTTGCCTTCTCTCCAGTGTGAAAGCCTGAGATGATCCCAAAATTTTTCAAAGAGAAACTGTTCTAGATATGCTATCCTGTTCTGCTTCCTCTGTACTCTACTCCTTTGATTATGGCTACTTCTCTATCTGTAGCCTTTCCACTAATCTATCTTCTTAGTATTTACTCATGTTAAAGTACTTCTTAACCTAAAAAGCATAGCCACATTCTGACCTCACCTTCATTTATGGTTAAAATTCTTAGAGATCACACTCCAGATCCACTATCCTACCATTTTACCCATACTTCAACTCATCGTGCTCTATTTTTTCTCCCATAGGTCCATTAAAACACTTCTCATTGGGGGCGCCTGGGTGGCTTAGTCGGTTAAGCGTCCGACTTTTGCTTAGGTCATGATCTTGCGGTTCGTGGGTTTGAGCCCTGCGTCGGGCTCTGTGCTGACTGCCAGCTCAGAGCCTGGAGCCTGTTTCAGAGTCTGTGACTCCCTCTCTCTCTGACCCTCCCCTGCTCACGCTGTCTCATTCTCTCCTAGAAATAAATAAATAAAAAAAAAAACCATTAAAAAAAAAACCACTTCTCATTGAATTTTTGGTTGCTAAATCCAATGGACATTTTCAATCCTTATTTACTTAACCTTGGAGTGGAATCCTTTTCAATTGACCAACAAAGCCTACAGTTGTTGTTAAAAGAGTTCCTGGCACATAACAAAGTCTCAGTTTGATGAAAAAAAAATTAAATGGAAAGCAGGCAGGAGCCAAATGGTGAAGACTTTTAATGCTGAGTTCTAAGGATTCGTTTTGATTATATGGGCAATGGTAATATAGAAAAGCCTGCACAGGGAAGCAGTAGTATCACATCTTGTGGGAAGTAAACTCTGGGGCAGTGGATGATTTAGAGCAGTGGTTTGCAAAGTGCTATGTACACCAGCAGCATCAGCATCTCCTGGGAGTTTGTTAGACAAAAATTCACAGGTCCCAACTCTGACCTATTGACTCAGAACCAGCATTTTGGAGAAGAAACAGAACGAGTGTGAGTTATTTCATGGAGGTGTTGTAAAGTGGGGTGCGTGGAGAGGTGTATTCAATCACTGAAGGCCTTAGGCATACAATCCTAGTGCTGCCTCTGAAGTCTCATTCATTTTGATTCATTCAATAGATGCTTACTGGGCTAAAGGTCATTTGGTATTTCCAGGGAGAACACAGGCAAAGCCCTGAGTTAAAATTATGATCATCACTGTAATAGATCATCTCTTCCAAGATCCTGGTAGATACAAACCATAAGCACTTTCAGTAATTAGTGGAGAACAGCAAGAGGTTCTCCAAAGTCACCCCAAGTGTGAATAATGAAAATGTTTAATTGGAAAACAGACATCCACATTACCAAAAGGTATACTTTCTCTTCAGAATCTTCCCATCAGATTCAGCTAACCCAGCAGGCAGACCTTGTGGTCTTGAAGGCTCTCAATTCACTTTTAGAAACCAATTTTGTTAAGATTTCAGAGCAGGAAAGCATTGAACGTGGACCCAGTGCATGAAGTGAGGAGTAACCGAGTTCTCAGTTGCAAACCAGGGAAAGCAACTACTTGACTTAGGCTGAAAAGGAATTTATTCAATGAGCAGAGTTCATGCAGAAGGCCTGGAAACCATAAGGAACAAAACCTACAAGATTCATGGCCAGATTAACACCAGATGCCAGGAGCTTACCTGTTGCCCCCACTGGATACTGGATGGTGGATGTTTCTCCTCTTCAGGGACACTGCCGCCCTCAACATGGACCTTCCCTACCCAGTTTCTTTGCTTTGCCAATCAGAGTGGGTGTGCCTGATGCAAGAGAGGTTGGGATTAAATTTTGCTACTAGAAGTAAAGGTGGTTTGTGCCATTTAAACACTGGAATGGAATTCAAATGGAGCACCATTGAGAGAGGGAGAAATCCATTGGTATAAACTTATGTCATGTGTAATTTAAGATAGTAATGATCTAAGACATCATCTAGATCAGATACCAAAGTGAAACATTTTACTAATACTCAGAATCCAATATATAAATGATATAGAAAGGATATTATTCTGACCACTGCTCTCCCTCCGTTCTGTCAACACATACACACACACCTACTTGCTAGGCTCTAAGTTATCTGCAAAGAATTCCAGGCCCTATCATGACATTTAAAAATGAGGGAGAACAAATTTAGTTTTAAAATTCCCAAGAAGGCTTGGAAACTGGGTAGGAACAAAGGTTGTAAAGGGGCAGTAAGCTTGCCTTTTACTATTTGCTCTAGCTTCGTGAATTCAGACTTAGAAAAGTTAAGTGATGCATTTCCCTTAACATCACAAAGTAGTTAAAGCTAAACAGGAGAGCAATTTCATTTGTGGTCTGGTGCTCTTTCCAGTATTTTCTCCAAACCAGACTCCCTTGACCTTCACTTGCCTCTTCTAGAAACAAAGTGATTTTAGACATTGAAAAGACCTTCAAGGATGATTACTATTCTCTTAGCAACGCATTAAATGTTTCAGTTCTCAAACATCCCTTGTTTTGCATTCTACCTCTGATCTTTTTTTGTACAACTGTCCTTGTTTCCTAGTTTTAAATTACTGCAAAAGCATTTACACATTACTTTAAAAATCAGTTGTGGGGAAAAGTAGTAATTTGTAAATATTTGGATGGATTAATAATGCTAACCACAATTAATAACCCTGAGTATTTTAATTTTGATTTTTAATATTGTTTTAAAAGCCAACTTAAAAATATTCACGACAGCTTTATTCGTACTAGTCCCAAACTGGAAACAACTCAACTGTCCATCACAAGTGAATGGATAAACAAATTACAATACATTCATACAACAGAATACTAGTCGGAAAAAAACAAAGGCATGAATTAGTGATGTTTGTGTTAATATGGAAGACTTTCAAAGCATCCTGTTGTGTGAAAAAAAGCCAAAGGCAAATAAGTACAGTACATCTTGTATAACATTTATGTAAAGTCCTAAAGCAGCCAAATGCAAATTACGGTCATGGAAATCAGAACAGTGGAGGGGAATGGGGAATGAAGTCACTGGAAAGGGGCACAGAGGTTGATGGTTACACACTTGTGTACATTTGTTAAAACTCAATACCACTCTTAAAACCTGTGTATTTATTGTATGCAAAGTATCCTCCGTTTTAAAAAGTTGCAGACATCCAGTAAGCTACAGGAATCTTATTTCCTGTTTCTGGGCTCTTGGGATAGAGGGAATATTAATTCTCAAAGAGAGATTCTCACGAACAAATTAAGATAAATTGCTAGATAATGACTGTTAAGTATAGACTCCCTAAGCTTGCAAAACAAAACCTTCATATAGGTCAATGATTTAAGGAAAGAAAAAAAAAAGTACACTTAAAAATATCCAGTGCGGTGCCTGGGTGGCTCAGTTGGTTAAGCATCTGACTCTTGATTTTGGCTCAGGTCGTGATCTCATGGTTTGATTCGTGGGGGATCAAGCCCCACACTGGGCTCTGCACCACAGCGTAGAGCCTGCCTGGGATTTGCTCTCTCTTTGCCCCTTCCCTGCTTGCACTGTCTCTCTCAAAAGAAATAAACATTGAAAAAAAATTCACTGAAGCTAACAGATAACAAAATATTTATTTTATTGTTGTAAAATTAAAAATAGTAGACAAGCATATGTAGTTACATTTCCAAAGCAGAACAATACAAATATATAAATTATTGCAGTTTTAAAAGAAAAAACATAGCCAAGTAAGGTCTAAAACTCTTTTGAAACCAACTGGTTCTTCACGACTACAGTTTAATTTTCTTTTCCCAAAGACCCTAGCACAATTTTGTAAAATAAATTTCTAACAGCAAGTTCAATGATCACAGTATACACTCAGATTTAAAACAAAGTTAACACACACACATGGACTGTAAAAGTAGGGATGGTGGTATTTAAGCAGAAGTCACTACTGAACACTTTGTAAACTGCCTCTTTTGGAGGCAGAAGAATGGAAATAAACATCCTACCCATGTTTGAAAAAAGAAACACATATTTGCTAAAGTTCCCTTTGCTGTGTAAACAGTTGAGGAAAGTTCAACTAACACTTCATTTATGGGGGCGGGTAATACTCATCTTCATATTTCTGTTTTACTTTGGTAAGCTTAAAATTGTGTACTAATTCAATATTACTAAAATGCCTTCATAATCTGGACACTTTTTAAACCAAAGAGAATGGGGAAAATATATGTTACAAGCTAGGTGCTAAAAAAAAATCTAATGCTAGCGACTTGCTATGATTGGTTCATAGCAAGATGACCACGTTGCTTAATAGGTTAGACTAAATTCTGTAACAAGAGCAATTGGGAAAGGAAGAAGTTAATGAATATACTGAGCTAGGACAGAACCTCGTAATTCCACTGTTCTAGAGCCCTCCTCCAAGATACCTTTCCTTGTGCGGGAGCCCTATTACCTTATTTTTTTGGTAAATAAAGTCCTTCCCATGATATCACCACAAAACTTAACATGGCAAGAATTACCTTTTGAAGGTTTTCTCTTTATTTCTTACAAGTTTTACTTTTATTTTTGATTTTCACCACAAATTTCCTCCATAATTATTCCTACCAATCTGAAGTTAATAATGCAATTAAAAAACACTGAAATGGAATTAATCACCCTTGCATTATAGCTGCATCCGAACAAAAGATCTTTAAAAAACGTTTTAGAGTACTAAACTTTTTATTAAGTACTTAGAAATACTCAGATATCTTACTTCAGTATAAGCAATATCTGTCAGTAAATCAGAAAAAAAGAAACACTATTAGAACTTTACACTGTCCCATTTGAAAACTTTTATGTCACAACCTAATTTTATGGTCACCAACTGAACCTCCTTCTAAGCTAAACAAATAATTTATTCTTTAAAAGTTCTTAAATTTAGAGTCTATACATTTTGAATTGCATTTTACAACATTAATGACACAAGCAGATTTCTTTTAAAAAACAAAATAAAAGCAAAATGGGTAAACATCAACACACGCAAATAGACCCTCAAAAATTAATTAAAAAAAAAAACAACCTAGGAAAAAGAAGCCTCAACAGTGTAAACACCTAGGTAAAAAATATCTAAACAAAAAAGAAAGCATTTTATACCATTTTCAGTGTTAAAGAATGTGGTCAAATGAAAAACCCAAGAAATCTCAAGATGCCTGTCAAGATGCCAATAAAATATACTTTGACTATATTTTTGAAATCACTTTCCAACATGAACTTATTATTTTAAAAATAATTCTCAAGTGTATATAAAAATGGGCACTTTGTGGTGAAATGTGCATAAATTTGAAAAACTAAGAACATTTCTTTGCTCCAACATCTAAGAACTACATAATGGAACAAAACACTATTTTGCTGTCTGCATCACCTATTATTGGTGTCCTAAGTGCATGCCTTTTTTTTTTTTCCCTAAAAAAAAAAAAGACTAATTTGGATATTAAATGTTAGGATCAAAGAGTGATGATCTTAAAGTAGATTTTTACCTTAATTTAAAGTCTGAACAAATTTGAAAACTTTAATTTCTAAAGTGAACAATTTCATGTGGTCAAAATCATTTTGGACTTTAAGTTGATTTTTAAAACTCCAATTTGTTTAATTATGAAATCTAACATGAAAAAACCGTCTTATTTCACTCCCCTTAATCATATAAGCTCTGGAAATGTTAGATTGGCAGTCTTCTCCCTTCTGCCATTTTTGAAACTGATGGCTGAGATTTTCTTCTATACTTCCTCAAAAAATACTAACAATTGTACAGAAGAATAGCCAAGGATGGTAACAATATTTGTAGTATTTCATATTCTCCAGATAGAACTCAACTCTCCCTTATTTTGGCATATACAGTAATTGCATCTTCATTCAATCAAGAAAACTAACACAGGAATCAAAGTTTACCAAATGGCTGGATAAACTGCTGTGCAAAATCCTTCAAGAAAAATTCTTCCATTACAGTATTCATCCAAATAAAGTACTAGTGTGAGTACCAGCACCGCAGATTATTTACAGCACCTTTCCTTTGAAGAACTTAGGTAGAAAGATCTAATGAAATGTTAGAATCCTCAGTTAAGACCTTAATACAAACACAATCCCACTCAATTGTTCCAAACTCATTAGTAAAGCTACATATTTGCCAGAAACAAAGCAAATACTTTTCTTTGGATTAACACTGTTACATTTAGGACCACACCATATGGCTCATACTCTGGAAATAGACTACTACTGATACCAAATGCAACACATCCCAAACTTTTATGACTGTCCCTAAGTGATCTACATAGAAGCACAAATGTGTGCAAGCGCACGGCTGGTAACATTCTTGATGAATTATACCAAAAAAGAGTAAAGTCAAATTAAAAAAATGTGACCTAACAACTAAACACTTACTATTTACTGGCATCATCAGGAAATGTCTTTATTCAACTTGTGTATATTGCACACATTCAGTTTAAAGCTTATCAAAACTAAGGCAATGTATCCCCACACTCCCTGGATTTCAAATTCATTTTGGATGCCTTGAAAAAGTCAGAGAAATTGAAAGCATTTTTCAAAAACTCCATCCGAAAAGCAGTTATGTCAGACTTACATGAAAACAAAACAAAATCAATTGAGATATCAATTAATACTCTCAGGCAAATTTAACACATGTTAGTATTACAAAAAAATTGTCTTCTACTAGACTGAGGCGCTTCTTTGCTTAGTCAAATACTGTTTGTGTTCAGACTAAAATCTGACCCAAGCCAGGGCAGGCTGCCAAATTTAAAATAGAAGTCATTCATATCTTTATGCATGAAGCCGCCAAGTTAATGGGCTTCACTGTAGATTCTTTCAAGCAAAGATCTTACCTCATAAATACAAGCTAAGTACCAACAGAAAACAGAATTTAGAGCCCATTTTAATTCTGTATTGGTTATAACTTTTACTATAACACATTGTTATAAAACTTATCTAACTGTTTAAAATGATACAGTAGCTCAGAATTCTTTGGAAACATCACAGGCAACTTACAAGAATATCTTTTTAAAATGGGCTTATTTTTTTTTGAATTAGAGTTTTGTTTTCCTGTGTCAAGCAGTCTTCTCTTTTCCACTAAATTCTAAAGTTTGGAAAAATGCCTCACAATGCTCTCTTTGGATCAGTAATGCTGATAAGAGAATTTGGACAGTTTCAGGATTCTTGAGCCTGTATCTGAAGTGGCACACAGAAGAATTTTAAATTTTTTTCAAAGATAGGACAACAATTTCGCAGCACATTCAATTTGACATATATTACGTTGGACTTGGAAGTGAGGCTTGACTTATTCTGTCCAAATTCTAACACATCAAAGTCATTAGAATGAAAGTAATAATGAAGTAGAAGAGGTTTTTATTTCTACGGAGACAAGCTGACATACGAAAACTAGATTAGCATTTTCTTTCTGAACGAGCTCAGAACTGTTTTTAGAAAAAAAATAATGTACTTTTTTCTTGGATACTTGCTTTAAAAAGTTATTAATTCCTCTTTCATAAGAGTTATTAGAAGTCAAAACAACTCAACTAGATAGATTTCTACTTCAAAATACATTTATCTTTGGAAAACAATAGTAAAAAGAGTGTATTAAGAGAATAAAATGCAGTGATCTGAAATATGAGTAAACGTAGTCACACAGGAAAAGTGTAAATATAATATACAGAGGCATTCAAATACATATTTATAAAGAGAATGGAAAGGTACCTAAAATAGCATTTTTATATATAAAACTTTCATATTAAAATATTGCTCATAATAAATAAGAGGTGTATTATGAATTCCATTTCCCTCTTAAAAGTTATCTTTAGTAGTTGAGACTAGTATAAGTTTTTTAATTTTCTATTGTTTTGGCAGGTGAATTACATTAAAATGTTTAATCAAATCACATTGTAACAGTAGTCACTTGTGTTAAGTTAGAGAGGGCCACTTAGTAATAAAGGGAAGAAAGATTCCCAGAATGACCAAAATGATTAATCCTAGAAGACTAGAGTGTAACGATCTGCTTTATTTGACAAAGATGTTATATACTGCCTTCAGCTTTGCAAATTTAAGGACCATAAAAAAATGGGACCAATAACTTGCTTCAAATTCTTTAAAGTCGGCATGCCTGGCAGACCAACAAATGGTAGGGGCATGAGGGCAAAGGAAGGAAATATTAAGTTTGGTTTAGTTGTTTATGGGTAGGTGTGACTTCGTTCCTGTTCGCCCCACTTGCTGCAGACATGGTAACTTGGAATAGTTCTTGAGGAGTTGTTCGATGGCCACGTGGCGGACATGGAGCTCTGAGGCCAAAGAATCTTTTTCTTGCACTTGGTGTGTTAACTCTTCAAAAACTTCTGTAAAGATTTAAAAGGTAGTTGAATATATAAATAGGTTCAGTCAGTATCTACTATGACTTATGGAGAGGAAGTATCCCATCAATACTCAGGTCTGGAAATACCTCAAAGAGGTTTTGGAATCAGACTACCTACTTTTTTGAATTCTTGTCCCTACACTTTTATAAGTCTCAGGCAAGTGACTGAAACTACACTTTAATTTCCTCTTATGTATAACCTTGGTATCAATAGTAAGCACCTTACAGGGCTACTGTGAGGATTAAATGAGATCATACTTATAAAGTACTGTCTACAGAATAAGCACTTGATAAATATAAGATGCTATTACTATTATTATTGTTACTATTTTATTATTCTGAGATTATGCATGATTAAGAAGACTACTGGCCATGGAGTTAAGGCAGGAGTTATAGAATTCTTAATCTGTTACCACTAACTGAATGCACAATCTTTGCAAGCAACTTAATATCTCTGAAGTGTAATTTCCTCACCTAAATGGAAATCAACTGTTTAAAAAAAAAAATAAACAGGAAACAGCTGGGGAATTTGAATATTAACTGTTGTTAGTGTTAGCATCATAGTTGATGATGTTAAAAGAATTACTAGCTGTTTTTTGTTGTTGTTGTTGTTTTTAGGTGTGATAATGAGGTTGTGATTACCTTTAAAAGAAGTTAACTTTTAGAGAAAATCCTGAAGTATTTGTGGACAAAACAATTTGTCTGGGATCTGTTTCAAATAATCCATGCTGGACGTGGGGTGAAAGGAATGGGTACAAGCAGAGATGAGGGGAAATGAGCTATGCTTCTGATAATAGTTGAACCTGGTGAAGATGGGTCAAGGGGTTCACTATACTATTCTCACCACTTTTGTGTTTGATACGGTTTATAATTTAAAAAACTCCACAAAACAGGGCTTATACAACCTTAAGGAACTGTTAGGAAGCACACTCATCCAGTGCCTAGCATAATAAAATGCCAGGAAGAAATACGGGTTTAGCTGTCTCCATTTTTACTTAAAAAAGAAAAACTTATTTCCCCTTTAGTTCATAAAGGAGTTGTTTTCTTATTCTTTTTGCTCTGGAAGTTCCAACAGGTTCTAATCCCCTTTCTGGATTTAAATGCAGATAAATCTAAGAATGTCCTGTCATAAGTGATTTTCTGTTTCAAAATTTTCACATGTATAAAACATTGACACTGTGTCTTTACCCTGTATTTCCTGTCGCAGCTTTGCATTCAGTTGCTTTACCTCACCAAGAGTCATCGAATTCACTGAAACATGAAAATAGGTTAATTACTACTACAGTAACCCAGGAAAATAAATTGTCTACATCACCAATACAATATTTTATTTAAAAAAAAATTCACTTAACTCCCATTATAATACTTACCTGTACTTTATGATTCATTCATTAACTCCTACAGTGTGGAGGATATTTCCAAATTCTAACCACAACTTAAAGCAAGAAACATATTTTACATCACTCCCAGTACACCTTCACCTGAATCAAAAGTTTTGCCAAAGAATACTTAGTAAAGTGCTAGAAGTGATACTCATCAAGTTGATTATGCTTAGGCACTACATAGTTTATGATCCACAGTTGGGAAAACACCAAAGTACTGTGGAAATAGTTTGAAAAACCGATCTATCTCATTATATAACCTTAGATAAAAATACACCTAAAATCCCTTCTAGTTCTAAAATCACTTGACTTAAAGTCAATTAGAATTACCTCTAATTGTAAAGGCCAACAATTAGAGGTAATTCTAATTGTGAGTTTTTGCAAGAATAAATGAAAACTGAATGGGTCACTTTTCCTAACTTTAGCATAAGTATACATATTATATTTGTCCTTTAGTGAAATGTCAGATTTTTGCTTTTGAAATGCTATCCCCAGTAAATTAGTCTTCTATCAATGAGCAACATGACGATGTATGTTAGCCAATGGGTGAAGATGTACTTCTAAACTACATGAACTTCGAACTTCCAATTCTGTGTCAATTCCATTTAGATTAATACATTTAACTTATTAAAGTTATTTATTTAAACTTTTTTAAAAAAAGATGATGGGATTGCAGAATTTGAATGCTTTAGGACATACTAAAGGGTATTTGAGAGGACTGATGGAGAATTTAAGACACCTCATTTTTGCTAGGGTGAACTTGTCATTTAAATATTCTATAAAATCCATAATTCTAGAGCAAAATTGACATATCATATACATAAAAATGTAAAAAGAACAAAGCCAACAAAACTGCAATCTTTATTTTTCTGCCCATTGTACTTACATTCCTCTCTGCTGTAACACGGATGCTGGGCCTGGACATTAGCCTCTGGATCAGAGATTATTTCTTCTTTTTTCTGTGCCTGGCTGGGACTATGAGGCCACAATACACTATTGTGGCATAAAGTGGCACCTGAATCTTGCAACACAGCAAGCTCAAAGTCTGTATTTTCCCGCTGCTCCAATATTCTTTGTGAACAGTTTGAGAGGGCGCCTGCACTTCCGTCTATCCACTTTGCAGAATATTTTGGTACTTGAGAGTCAAACTGTGGGAGTAACTTTTTATCAGGCTTATGCCTGCAATTTAACAGGTGATGCTGGGAATTTTTAGAACACTCAGAATCTGAATCCAGATCCTTATTTTGTGCATACTGTACAATCCAGTTTATCTTCTTACTCAAAAGAGTTTTAACTTCTTCATAAGTACTTTTTGAAAGTTTAGATCGAGGACAATCCTGGTTTGCAATCAAATGGTATTTTTCAAAGCAGTCTTTATGGCCCCTTAACGATCTGGTGTGCAAGAGATTAGATTTTGGTACTCCTATAGAGAAAAAAAAAAAAAAGAAATAAAAGACAACATTTTGTTTTTAAAAGCTGCATTAAGAGTATAAAGATCTTAGTAAAACATGGATCTCAGTCATCAGATTTGTAAATTAGAGGAAAAATTCTAAAGAATATTGGTGTTAATAACATAAAATATGGTCTAATAATTTCTGCTTCAGTTTATATATTCAGTAATATTAAATTCTTATGAATAATAAAGCCTTTCCAAGGACTTAATGATTCAATTTAAACCTTGGTCTAGAGGCATGTTATTGCATATAATATAAAAATAGTCCTACCAAATGAGCAATTTACATTTACAAAACGTTGGCCTTTACAATATAGTGCTTCCTTCACTAAGCCTCCTGAAGCACACACTTTCGATCATGTTCTTATAATTATGTTTTATTGGGGAAGAATACACCAGAACCAGAAAAATACACATTAATAAAAGCCTTATAAAGCCAATGAGCTAGACTGTCTATCTATTTAGATTCTATCTAGCAGGTCTCCTGCCCAGCATGGAGTCCATCACAGGGTTTGAACTCACAACGCTGAGATCAAGACCTGCGCTAAGATCAAGAATTGGACACTTCAGGGCACCAGGGTGGCTCATTTGGTCAAGCATCAGACTGTTGGTTTCAGCCCAGGTCATGATCTCATAGTTCATGAGTTAGAGCACAGAGCCTGCTTTAGATCCTGTCTCTCCCTCTCTCTATCCCTCCTCTGCTTGCTTGCTCTCTTTCAAAATAAATAAACTTTAAAAAAAAAAAAAAAAAGAGCTGGGCACTTGACTGAGCCACCCAGTTGCCTCTAGACTTATTGTTTTAAGAAAATGAAAGCATCTAAAATGTTTTCACATTTGTTTAACTTACTAAAACTTTATCAAGATAATTTTATCCTCTAGAAGAAATGCATTACACACAATTAATTTCATACAGCGATAAATTCTGTCTGCTCCGATACAATAACCAGTATAATTCTTCAACTCATAAATGTTCATTATATACCATAAATAGTGGAAATGTTATTATCACTTTTCTATCTCCCAACTTTTTAGTAAGCTTAAGTATGCTATTTCAATTGTTTTTTAAAATACACATTTTCAAACACATAATACATTTCATAATACAGAATACATTATTACATTTTTATAAGTTCAAGCCATATTATTAAAGTCAAACAGCAGTTATGTTTATACTGAAAGAGAATAAGGGATGTTGAGTTGAAAATGAATGCCTGCCAGAATTAACCAGGCTAAATGTGCTTAGCTTTGAAAACAGGGTAAGTGGAGTGCCACTCAGGTGCTACGTTAAAAAAAAAATTTAGCTTACTTATCAGAAAAATTACACCCTGCATTCATCCTTTGTTTTAAAAACTGAAGTTGCAACAATTTTATTAACTCAACTGCAGACTCTGGCTAATAGTTAAGATAATGAAATATTTGTACTTAAATGGTATTAAATCAGGTATAAAAGTGCTTTTAAGTATTCATTTGTTCTAAAACGACATAACATCAGCCAACGGTGGGACCTGCTGAATTTGCCAAAACCAGTGCTAAATGGGCCATCAGTTTGCTCACGAGTAAGCTATGTGAGTATACCTCCTGACCAATGATCATGTAAGCACGTGGGGACAGCTGCTCTCATGAGGCAAACTCAAATATCTCAGCCTTGTGTCTTCCATTGAGTACAAAAACAGACCCTAAACAGAATTTCATAGGCATTTTATTTATCCCTTTGCTACTTGTGCTAGTTGTGTGTATGTTTCTTTCTTTCTTTTTTTAACCAGTTACTGTCCAATTAGGTCAAATTTCCAGCAAAATTAAGATATTTAAGTGCAAACCCTTAAAGCTCTATTTGATAACACAAGTACACCTTTAAGACTAGGTAAATTAACATGAAAAGGAAGTTCACAAATCCTGCACTTTTTAAACAACTTTTTGATATTTATTTTTGACAGAGACAGAGTGTGGGCAGGGGAGGGAAAGAGACAGAGGGAGACACAGAATCTGAAGCAGGCTCCAGGCTCTGAGCTGTCAGCACAGAGCGCGATGCGGGGCTTGAACTCACGAGCTGGGAGATCATGACCTGAGTAGAAGTCAGACACTCAACCGAGCCACCCAAGCACCCCAAATCTTTCTTTTTAGAATAAAAATATTATAAGTTTTGTTATTATATGTTTTAGGCCATAAAGGAGACAAAAAAGTAGCTAGTATAAAATTATAGCCCAAATAAATAGCTCCACTCTGCTGTTTGATTCTAATACTTACTGCACTGGATAAATAGTAGGTAGGTAGAGAACTTGAACTTGCTTACTTTACTAATTCAGGAAGATTTATTCAAGAGCTGCCTTACTCTGCAACCTCCCTTTAGTCTCACTGCCAACAAATGGCTCACCAATCCCCAGTCAACGGTCTCCTTCTCAGTCCACTGCCACAGCTCTAAGCCATGATTTAGTTGAATCTATTAAACATAGCACATTTTAAGTTTCACTGAACTATATGAAAAGAAATTCTTTAGCATATTAAAAAAGGGTTTAAACTATGCTACAGAAATTAATTTTTGCTGTTAAATATTGTGGGCTTTGGTATTTATTTAGAAACTTCAAAAAGAAAAAATAGTATGAAACAATGAATTTCCTGATGTACTCCGAATTTCAACAGCAGGTCAATAGATGTCTATTTGAAGGATAATGTGGGGTTTTAAAGTTAAAGAGGTTTCTTATCCAATGTTCCTTCTTAGTAAATTTTCTTCGAAAACAATTTTTTAAAAATTTGTATTTATTTTGACAGAGAGAGAAAGAGTGGTGGAGGGTCAGAGAGAGAAGGCAAGAGAAAATCCCAAGCAGGCTCTGCATTGTCAGCACAGAGCCCGATGTGGGGCTTGAACCAACGAACCGTGGGACCATGACCTGAGCCAAAATCAAGAATTGCTGAACTGACTGAGCCACCCATGAGCCCAAAAATAATTTTTCTTTTAATTTTTACCTAAATCTCCAAATTACTGCTAGGAACTCAGATAAGAACATGATTACCTGCATATAAATAATCTTTTGGGATGAACAGCAAATCAGAGAACAATATTCAATTTACTGTCCAAATACACAAATGTAACATAAATTTCTTTCAGATATTCAGGAGTAAAAGTCACCTATAAAAGACATGAGGGGCACCTGGGTGGCTCAGTCGGTTAAGTGTCTGACTTCCACTCAGGGCATGATCTCAGGATCCATTGAGTTCGAGCCCTGCATTGGGCTCTGTGCTGGCAGCACAGAGCCTGCTTTGGATCTTCTGTCCCCTCTCTCTCTGCCTCTCTCTTGCTAACACTCTCTCAAAAATAAATAAATACTTTCTAAAAGAAAAAGAAAACACATGAAAAAAGTATCATGGGCAAAAAGAATTCTGAGTATACACTTAGATGGCACATGGGTTCCTCCAACAAACACCTCCTGAATGAAATGGCTCTTCTTCCAGTCTAAGTGCCCAAACCTTAAATCTGATTCTCTTCCTGAGTTTGGCACCACCAACTGCTCAAGGAAGAATCCTAGGTGTCCTCCTTGACAGCTCGTCCCCTCACTTATCCCAGATGTTTTGCTGTCCATTTTAAAGGATGCTTTTCCCTATAAAATCTAGCAGTACAACATCCCAAATCCTGCTTTTCCTGATCACCCCTCTCACTGAACTGTCTGGGTCATCACCATCTCCTGTCTCCTTACTCCAATACACCTGGGTTAGCTGATAACACCAGATTCCACAAGTGCCCCTTCACTGGCCTTTATCTCCGGCTATGAGTAAGTTCTGTGAGAAAGGGCACATGCCTGGCACATGGCGACTACTCAAGAAAAAGTAGTTAAATGAATAAAGGAAAATTTAAATTATAGTAAAACAAAACAAAACAAACTTATTACCAATTGTCATTCAAGGTCTACTGCAATGAATCAGGATGTGCAGTTTTGCCAGACTACTCAGAGGTTAATTAAAGAAAGCCATCTTCAGTGAAGTTACTCCCTTTAGTTTAATGGGCCATTAGTCTGAAGAACTGATGAGTGGCGCTGATACACAGATGGCAGTCTTGTGGCATCATTCAATATGCCAGGCAAAACCACAAACTTCTACTCAATTGTATAAATTAAACACATAGCGAATGTATAAGGCTGTTTTATGTAAGCTGTAGCTCATTATTACTTTTAATTTCTTTAAGCTCACTAAAAATTTAAAACTTGACTGAGTTTTAAAGTTCAATTTGAAAATGTTTGTTTTGTAAACATGGGTTAAAATATCCCATGCAGTAGCACAGGAAATGAAACATCCAAAAAGTATAATATACTGACCACTTCATATACTTGAACAAATTACTTTTTATTTTATTTTATTTTTTTTAAATTTTTTTTTTTTTTAATGTTTTATTTATTTCTAGGAGAGAGAGAGAGACAGCGTGAGCAGGGGAGGGTCAGAGAGAGAGGGAGACACAGACTCTGAAATAGGCTCCAGGCTCTGAGCCGGCAGTCAGCACAGAGCCCGACGCGGGGCTCGAACCCACGAACCGCGAGATCATGACCTAAGCGAAAGTCGGACGCTTAACCGACTAAGCCACCCAGGCGCCCCGAACAAATTACTTTTTAATCTAGAAAAAAATGTGAGTAGCCCACTTAATTTGTATCAGCAATATACATGCCATTTTATAAACTCTCCAAGTGATTTTGTTTTCTCCACTTCATCAGCTTGAATTATTATAAGAGAAACAACTATTGCTATTATCAGAGATCCCATTGAGTTTCCCTACTGACTTTTCAATTTTAATTGCATTTACAAGTGTAAACTGCTCTGAGCACTAATTTGTTTCCTCAGCAGCTTTTGAAAAGGAATGAATCTAAATGCAATTAAATGAGTTGATATTTTTGAAGAGCTGAGTTATAAGGAGTTTCCAAACCAGTTCAACAAAAACTGCACTACAACTTCCTCACTAATAAAGATGTTGAAGGCCAATGTAATTGACA